AGTAGTGTGCATTCAATATATTGCTGTGAAGTTACAGTTGATGACAGAAGCGTCGGATACAGATTTTTAGCATGATCGAATTGACAATGTACTGTTCAAGTGGTTTGAAGTATTTCATTGGGAGGAGATACAAGATACAAGAAGAGAATAGTGAACAACATATGGAGAAATAGTCATACAAATTAAAAAGCAATCGATATGGTTATAATATTCAAAATTGTAGAAAACTTTATGATTGGTCAGTTCGTTCGATTGATTGATGGTGAATGTGATCATGAATGAGAATTTTATGTGATCAGTGGAATTTAACTCTGTCGAGTCGTTACACTCGTCTCTAGGTATGCTTAAAACAATTACGAGTTCACTTTAGTCGAATAACGAGAACGAGACAATGAACCAGAGTCTAGGTAGGCTACTGTGATCTCTTGACTAAATTGAATCAGTAAGAAGTCTTGATATAGTGTAGAAATTGTATTCTACAAATACCCAGCCAGCACACAATGAAATCCAAGCACTCAAATTGCGTTTATTTATACACTATAGAGACGTCCTTGGGACAGTCACAAAAATTGCACACTACAATGATTTACAGCACGATCTGAGTGTTCTGAACAGTAGATAGAGAGACAGACAGACGGACAGATACAACACAGAACGTCGCATGTATGTACATGAGTTCAGATTGCCATACCGCATCAGCACAGAAACACAAGTGTCAGTTTAAATCGCATACTGGCAGAGATAGTAAAAGTATTAGCAGTAATGGAGAAGATTAGGGTATAACTCAGTGAGATGAAGTTAGGAAGAGAAAGATAGAGATGATGAGGAATTCAAAAGGTTAAAATTTGAGAGAATACAAAGAATGGATGCACCGGCGCCACTACAAACGATTTTGAGCCATGCCGTTCAAGGTCTCTAACCATCAATTACTACCATCTCGCGGACCCCAACCACGTAGTCTACACTTACCGACATGACTCAATCCAGTTGTCAGTCATTTCATGGATTTGAGCCATATTTTGGTTAGGCCGCCCCGAACTTTCTTCCAACCTACTCCTACACCACAAAACAACACTCGTCAAGGCAGTTGTTGGTTAGGCCTACGTAACACATGCTCTCTGAACAATAGAACACAGCCATGAATAAGCTTGTTTTGTCAATGGATGTTAAATGATATAAGAAGTACACGTTTTGACTAGTAGACCATCTTCTTCACTGAAGCCTCCTTCTTTATTCATTCATTGCTCTATGACATTATTTATTATAAGTGATTGGTCAATACAATATTAATCATTATTAGCTACATAATTTACTCTAGAAATTTACATAAAACTAAAGAAAATTATAAAATTCAAATTTAACATTTATATTATTATCTATGCATAAAAAAAATTAAATGATATCTCAATTACTACTACTACTATAAATCGCTTCTAGTTTTTTTAATATTTACTTAGCTTTTTTAGACTTACTGTTCAAAGAAGTCAAATTGAATAAAGACAGACACACCTACCCGCACATACACACACACACGTACACACAGAGAGAGAGAGAGAGAAAAAGACATGAAACTCTTAACACTTTCATTAAAAATTTTTACTTGAATACATGTCTTGTTCATGTTTATATCATACGCACACACACACAGACATGCATACATGCAGACACACACATATACAAACACATATACACACAGAAATACACGAGAATATACATAAATGTTAATTTTTACACTTAAATAAGTGAATATCTTTTATTTTTTTTTTTGGTGATGTTAATTGTTTTAAAATGGAAATTTTTGATTAAAAAAAATTGAAATTTTCAATTCAATTAGTAAACGCTACATTGACTTGACTTGTACAAATAAGAAACACCTATTTTAAAAAAATACTGTTAATTTACACTTGATGTTGGATAGATTAATATTTTTCTAAATTTATTCAATGATAAACAGCGTAAATTGTGTTCTTTTCAAATTTCAGTTTTGTTGTATCCGAAGTCCATTAGTTTATGTAAATTACATTTTATAATATATATACAGTGTACAAATTTATATGTTTCGATAAGTTATTTGAAAATTAATTCAACTTAGAATAAGTTAAATAAATGTTATATCATACATACATAGTAGTATCATTCATTAAAAGTGTTCAATGAATAATGATGAGTTAAAGAGTTAAATTTTTCAAATTCATCGTTTATTAAAACATTTTAATAATTATTTAATTAAAAAAAATTATAGTTTCATTGTCATGGTTATTTATTTCTATGATTAAAGCTTTAAGAAAAATTATTTTCAATTAGAATTATGGAGATTAGTGTTGTGTTGTTGCACATTTGAAATCATTAATCAAACAATCAGTCATTGTTAGACCAGCAC